GCCCCGGGCATAGCTAATAGCTCTTCATTTAAGTAATGGCTATGCCATTGGAAGAAGGATACCTAACAATACCGACCTGTTCTCTTATGATAGAGAGGGTTGATGGGGGAGGAGGTGAGGGAGAAGGAGGAGGGAAGAGGAGTCTTACTAGTTCTCAGTGTTACGATACTACATTACATCAATATATTAAAGTTGGCAGTGCTGGGCAGCCATTTTAAAACTGTTATTTTGATCAAATTTTTTATCTTTATAACAAAGTGTGTGTGTGTGTGTTTGTACAAAAAGAGCAAAAATTGAAGTTATGTATACTTTTAATATTAATGTGTCTAGCCACGCCCCTTAGCAACGGGTGACATATGTACCCATTCACTTAGCAACGGAATCAATGAATTTAGCTAGATTGACGTCCCTCTGCGAGAGTCCTTGGCAATCATGAGTACTGAGTGTTATATTGACACTGTTGTAGACATTGAACCACTCTGGGTGATGGTTCATCTGGTCTGCTTTCAGTGCCACTCGTGTCATGAATCCAAACGCTTCGTTGAAGTCGTTGAATTTGAAATCTTTTTTAATGGCGTCGCGTCCTTCGACTAGTGCCCAGCCAGCAGAGAGGAGAGGGGAAAGGAGAGAGTCTCTCTCTTCTGTGTCTAACTTGAGGCGCTTTGCACTTGGAGAAGACTATGAAACGGAAATTGATATTGTTTTTAAAATGTGATTATCATCATTACCATTATCCTTCTTGATATTACAATTCTACTTAATGATGTCACAAACATTACTTTAACGCCCACGCACAAACTTAGCCAGCCACACCTCTATACTATAATGAAGTTTATGCTGTTGGCCTGTTGCTGTTCCTCAGTCCCCTCTTTTATTCAGTGGATTCTTTCATTCTTCATTAAAAGCATTTTTCATTGAAGAGCATTATAAAAATGTTCTTCTTGAAGTATCTGCTGTTGCTGCTGTGTCTCCTCTTTTATTCAGTGGATTCTTGTTCAACAGTATCTAGATCAGGTGTATCACTAACTGGAGTATGTCCTAATGATACTTTTACTGTACCCATTGGAACAACACTGTCTTATGAGTGCTCTTACAGCTTTTCTACAGGATATTATCCGTTTTGGAATGTTAGTGGAACCGAACTGAGTGGTGGTAATTTCAAACCACCTGGAATAAGTGACTCTATGTTCAACAATGGAAAAGCTACTATAACTGTTTTAACTGATGAAACTATCCCAATGTACATACAATGTGGATTAAGAGGAACAGGACCAAATATTAATATGGGTCTAACCTCTCGAGTGAGGTTTATTGAGACAGAAGTAGTTACCTTTGGTATGCATAGCTAGCACATGATAGTAATGAAGTAGCTAAATTTCTTTCTCTTCTTAGGTCCTCCTTCTTCATTATTCCATGAATTAAGAGAGAATGATACTGTTAAGTTGTCATGGTTACCTCCTCTAGAAGCGCCTGTACCATTATTCACATATAATATAATAATAATGGAGTCAACTAATAATTCACTGACAGTAACTGATATAACCATTACTAACAATACATATGTAATAATATCACCTGCTAATATAACTAATTATACTGAATGTACTTCATATCAATGGGGAGTAAGAGTAAGAGCAGCTGGTAGTATAAGTTATGGATTTACTAATGTAACAATGGCAAATGAAAATTTCACTTTAATTTCAGGTACATTATTTGTTCCAAAATTCTATAATACTATTTCATAGGTCCTAAAATATCTGATGAATTGATTGTTATTGATGATAATTATACCATTGAGTTCAATGTAAGTACAACTGCAATTAATTGATTATTATTATTGAATAGGTTACAACTCCATGTGATATTGCTCTATTAAACAATTATACATATACTTTACTACAAAGAGATTACTGTCAGACAGAACTCAATTCAACACAGCTTAATATCAGTTTGCTTGATGATAATGTTCTACCTAACGCAATGATACCAATCAGTGTTAACATTGAATCATTGATTCATGATTCAACATGGTCAGTAGCTGTTAATGTATCAAACAGGTTTGGTTCAGATACTACAGACTATACAAACATTACAAACAATAAAAGTAATTATTATATTGAATTTCACTTATAATACTATTGTTTTATAGCATATATAAAATTAATCAAAACTACTATTAATTATTATACAACTCATCCAAACTGTGAAACTATTTTTACTCTTTACATATTAGCTAACATAAAGCAGTGTTACTCGGAGCCTATTTTATCACTGTCAACTGCAATAATGCTTTCACAAACAGTTACTCCTTCTCCAAGTCCAATATCATCAAGTATAGATCTAACTTTCTTATCTATTTTTTACTACAGTTTTATCTTCTCTTTAGTTTATAAATCTGGTTCTATTCAAACTTTAATGGACTGCACTACAATTATTATTACTAGTACAGTATGCAACACTGTAGATCTATACAGCACAGTAACAGTAACTCCATCAACAGTTAATGTCATTCCCATTGTTATTGTTACTACAGCAACTGTTATGATATCACTGATAGTAGTAATAATACTTCTCATTTTCATGATATTTTTATGCTATAAAAGATCTGATATAGTAATTACTATTGCAATGACGATAAACATTGTGATAACATGATTTTTGTGTTTTTATTGCAGACCGGAAATAGATCTACTTCAAATCAAAATATCACTGTACCACTTGAGTCCTGTCCTGCATATGATGATATTTCAAGAATAAATACTGCAAACTGTGAAGCATATGGCAAAAGAGATACATTTATAACTGCAGAATATGAAACTGTAAATGTTAATTAGCCAATTTTAATTTGATTGTCAATAATAATTAATAAAATGTACAGTTACGCCCACTAATAATAATTATACCGAGTTTTATTGTGAAGATTGAAGAAAGGCTGTGAAGAAACTAGAAAGACTATTATATCGTTGTTAAAGATGTCCCTTACTCCGTTACTGTCCTTATTATTTGTCTGCTTCAGTCTTCTCTTTTATTCAGTGGATTCTTGTTCAACAGTATCTAGACCAGGTTTTCAAGAAACTACTCCAAATGCTATAGATAGGTTGCAGTAGGCGTGGCCAATTATCACGTCCGCCATGTTGGAGTACAACCCGGAGTACAAGTGCAATGATAATGTCATGACTTTTGTTAACAGTTAGCCTTTTAGGAGCTAATGAGCTGGAACAGAAACGCTGATTGATTGATCTAGGTAGCTCTGGCAGTGACAAAGAGAAAAAAGAAACAGATGAAGCAATAGTTGACTACTCAGGCTGTGCATGACACCTGAAGACCTGGAAACTAACTAGACTAATTAGTACTGCATTGACTTTCAGTATTGTCCACACACAACAAATACATATTCATTCTTGTTTTGGTTTTAAAAGAGGAGCCTGGGAACAGTATAAAGGCAAAGCACAGCTAGCTAGCGAGCGAGAATATGGGAGTGACTTAGTTTATGCTTAATAGTTAATTAGTAGTGAGCGCGAAGAAGACACTAAGGCAGATGCAAGCAGCTATAGAACTTGCACTAAACTGACTAAAGCAGCTACAGTTGTTCCTGGCTAAATCAGTGCTCTTTGCAAGACTCTAGTTCCACAATGGTCAATTTCTGTGCTGTTATTGGCTGCTCTAACAGAGCAGATAGGGACAGGAATAAATCCTTTTTTCGACTACCATCTGTCATAACGCACCAGGGACCAAGCACTGAGAAGCTGTCCTCCAGGAGACAGAGAGAGTGGCTTGCAGCTATAAAAAGGGACATCAAGAAGTCTAACTACTGCTTCACCCGAGTATGCTCAGACCATTTCATTACTGGTTCACCAAGCACATTGTATGACAGTGAAAACCCTGATTGGGTTCCAACACTGCATCTTGGCTATGATGAAATACTAGACACTACAAGCTCTATGCAGCAAGCTCAACGTTATTCTCGTGCTCAAGATAGAGCACACAGCAAGCGTAGGAGGCTAGATCATGATGCCGAGGCTGATGTAGACCAAGATGATACCTCAACCGCTACCGTAAGTCTAGAAGAGTCCAAGAGCAGCAAGGAATGTCAGACAGATTTGCTTATGTCTGATTTAAAGCAGCATGAGTTAGAAATAAGTGTGCTCAAGAAAGCTCATCATGACACCTCTCTAACAATAGATTCTTTCAAAAACAATGATTCTAAAATACATTGTTACACTGGGCTACCTAATTGGGAAGTTTTCTCATCACTGTATGATTTTGTTCATCGAGACTTGTGTCAGAGATCATCACTCAGTCCATTTCAACAGCTATTGATGGTACTAATGCGACTAAGGAAGAACCTCCAATTTGATGATCTGGCTTATAGATTCTCTACACACAAGAGTACCATCTCTCGCTTATTTAATCAACTGATCGAGATTTTGTACGTAAAGCTGAAGTTTCTCATTGTATGGCCTGATCGTGACACTCTATTATTAACAATGCCAATGTGCTTTCGGAAATACAGTCCAAACTGTGCAATAGTCATAGATTGCTTCGAAATATTCATTGAGAAACCTTCAGACTTGATGGCAAGTGCACAGACCTTCTCATCATACAAACATCATAACACTGTGAAGTACTTGATTGGCATAACACCACAAGGCACTGTGTCATTCATCTCGAAAGGTTGGGGTGGGAGAGTGAGTGATAAATACATCACTGAGAACAGTGGATTGTTAAATTATTTACTCCCTGGTGATACAATTCTCGCTGATAGAGGATTCGACATTCAAGAATCAGTAGCAGCCTGGTCAGTAAAACTAAGCATTCCGGCATTTACCAAGGGAAAAAAGCAACTGACAGGAATTGACGTAGAACAGACAAGACGTATCGCTAATATCAGGGTACATGTGGAGCGTGTCATAGGGCTGTTACGGAATAAGTACACTATACTTAAAGATACACAGCCAATTGATGCACTACAAACTAAGTGTTCAAACACCTGTCAACTAGACAAAATTGTTACAGTATGTTGTTGTTTAGTAAATTTATGTGATTCTGTAATTCCTCTTGATTAGATAATCATAATTATGTATTGTATATATAATGCACTAATACTCACAATAATATAACAGTATAATAATAATGAAAACACTATAATTAACTATAATCACTTCTTTCTACAATCTGGACAGTACCAGATTTTTCGTCGTGGAGGAGCAGATAATTTCAAGCAGGCGAAATGAAACCACTGATATGGACAAGTGGTGTTATCACATGCTACCATTTGACCACTCTCTGGCTGTTGGCAGTAACAGTATACTGGTTCAGTAGTTGATACATCAGCTTCGCCCGTTTGTACTGCATCCTTTGGTGCACGAGAAAAGAATTTCCCTAGCAACTCTGGTAAAATAGCTCTCTTAAAAAATGACTCTGCTTTTGAAATGCATCCAGTGATGAATTCAGTATTTGGGAAGATTCTTTCCACAAAAATATCTTCTGATGTCCAAACGACGAAGTCACAATACCTTCTGTTACTGCAGTACAATTGTAGTTGAACCTATAGCATTCAATTCATACACCTCATACTGAACTAATGCCCAAAATACCTGGTAGTAATACATGTGACTTCTTTTCAATTGATACGCTTTTCCTTCAGTAACGGCTTCCAAACAAAAACTTTTATCAGCAACACTCTTTTCAATTGTGTCATCACGATGACAGTAGGGGCACTAAAAAAGAATACAAATCAATGATAAGTAACAAGCTGATCACAAACCTTAATCTCACAAATCCCACTTCCACAACACAGACAATCTACAAGTGCATCAGGTGAAGCACCAAGAAAGGGACTAGCATGATTAATAAATAACCCGCTCTTTGTTATAGTCAATCCATCATGAGTGGAGTTCAACTGTAAACTATATCTCTGACGTGCTTCATCCTCATGTTTACAGCCCCACTCTGTAGCATGTGAATTGAAACGAGCTACATCCGGATAACAGATGGACATGATTAAGCTCAAGGGAGGCATTGCTTCATCTGCAGTACACACTGCTCTCAATCTTGATGCTGTAATGCGTCCAGCTCTCATGTTATACCAAATACGAGATTGAAACTGAGTCTTCGTTGATTTCTCTACTGCTAAACATTGACCCTCAGTAATGGATATCTCCAAGTCCTCAGCAAGAGATAGCAATTCGATGTAATGTGATGATAGATATTTGCTGTTGTACAATGCAGATAATGGCGAGGGTAAGTCTGGACTTAAAGAGAGGGGAATATATGAAGATGAATAGTCTCTTGTCAGAGAAAGAATAGCTGGTTTACTTTTACATTTTGCTAGCGAAGAATATAGCTTTTGTATCTCTGCATCTGTTGGAGGATTGATGGTCTTTGCTGGTTGCTTTGGTGATGGCAAACTGGCTAAACCAGTTGAAAAATGATCAGATTGAGATAGTGTGGCTGAGACATTATGATGAGGTGGAGTGAGTGAAGATGAGGAAGGTAAAGAAGTAATGTCTGGGGATATGCTTGGTGTCGATGAACTGTGAGTAGTACTAGAAGACTGTTCAACAACAGAAGGAAGATGATGAGCAGCTTTCCATGTACTTCGAGCGCGAAATTTGCCCTGAAACTTAATTTGTTCAACTGGAGCATAAGGTACATCCTTCTTGCTATTTGGTAACACCCAGTAAGCCTTCTTCTGTGTCACAGTTAGTGAATCTCTTAGTTGCACACCTGCTTCTATTGCCCAAAGAAGAGATGCCACATGGCTGCAAGATTCCCCAAGACCAGCCATGCAATTGCAATGACAAGAGATTACTTTCCCGCTTGCTTCACAAATTACCCAAGGTGTTAGTGGTTTCTCTCTCAGTTTTTGAGAATGATTCACCTAATGATGAAACATTATTATATTAGGTTTGACATAGCTCAGCTCAATAGTACTGTACCTTTGCTGTCATAACTCTTTTATCAGCAGAGGCTACAAAGACTAGTACTTCCCTCACCCAACCTGCAACAAATCTACGGTAGCAGTCTAGACTTTTGTAGTTCAGTAAATCTTCACCGGTGTAGGGACTAGGAGAAAATGCCAAATACATTCCAACATGTATGTATGTAGTGCTGGGCCAAAGATCAACATCATCCAGCCATGAAGATAGCTGTATTTCATAAGGATCATTTCCCCCAATTAACTTTAGCTTCTCCAAATATCTCTCCTTGGAAGTAGAGTCTTGCAAGGTGCTTATGTAGCCAGGAAGAATAGCTGCTTTTCTAGCTGCTTGCATAGTCTTATTTGCATCTGTCTTCTTCGCGCTCATGGACTCACTACTAATTAACTATTAAGCATAACTAAGTCACTCCCATATTCTCGCTCGCTAGCTAGCTGTGCTTTGCCTTTATACTGTCCCCAGGCTCCTCTTTTAAAACCAAAACAAGAATGAATATGTATTTGTTGTGTGTGGACAATACTGAAAGTCAATGCAGTACTAATTAGTCTAGTTAGTTTCCAGGTCTTCAGGTGTCATGCACAGCCTGAGTAGTCAACTATTGCTTCATCTGTTTCTTTTTTCTCTTTGTCACTGCCAGAGCTACCTAGATCAATCAATCAGCGTTTCTGTTCCAGCTCATTAGCTCCTAAAAAGGCTAACTGTTAACAAAAGTCATGACATTATCATTGCACTTGTACTCCGGGTTGTACTCCAACATGGCGGACGTGATAATTGGCCACGCCTACTGCAACCTATCTATTGTCTACTGTGATATGGAGGGTAGCTCTTATGATGGCCAAGGTGGCTGGATGAGAATAGGTCATATAAACATGACAGAGACTGATGCTACTTGTCCTCAAGGACTACATGAACGTAACTTTGCATCAGTAAGCTCACCGCTGTGTGGTAGATCCAGTTTAAGCTATGGATGCAACTCAACTTTTTTCTCAAGCTATGGACTAAACTATACTCAAGTTTGCGGGCAAGTTAGAGGATATCAATATGGAACTACTGATGGTATTTATCCTGTTTGGGGACCAGGAAGTTCTGAAATTGATGATGTCTATGTTGATGGTATTTCCATTACTTACGGGAGCAGTCCGCGCAAACATATTTGGACATACGCAGCAGGATATGTGGAAAATTCCTTATCTTCTGCAAACTGTCCTTGTAACAATGGTAGCCGTCAAACCACACCATCTTTCGTTGGTGAGGATTATTACTGTGAAGCTGGTGCAGTAAATGCAGCTCATCGTGCACTTTATCCTGATCCATTGTGGGATGGTCAGCAGTGTGGCTACTTTGAGGCTACTTGTTGCACCTCTCCTAAAATGCCTTGGTTTGTTAAAACCTTGCCTCAATCGGTTACTGATGACATTGAATTTAGAATGTGTGATAGTGCAGGATCTCTTCATGAGGATACTCCAGTTGACATAGTACAGATATACATTCGCTGAAATTTATCGGCCAAATTAAACAATAATTTTAAAAATTTTATTTATTGTTACTATATGTACCAGTACATGTTACATTACATCTTTTACAAATAGAATTGTACACACTTGATATGGACGATTAACTACAGGTGAATGTACATGTAAACAATAGGAGGAGGGTACAAGGCTATGATTAACAAGTGCTTCCTTGTCAGATTACCAAATAATTGTGATTTCAAATTAATGCCAATTCACATTGCAATAAGTATGTTATCACATGCACATGTACACGTACATGTACATGTAGATAATAATATTATGGTACATCTACTGTATACATGTTATTATTTATGTGCAATGTATTACACAAGTTCTGTTTACATGCATGCATAATGCTATCATTATTATTATTATTATTATTATTATTATTATTGTTGTTGTTTTACTCACTTCTTGGTGTGAACTTGGACAAAAACATTTTTTCTGTGCCAAATCAGGTAGTCTTGGACGTCCAGTCATTGTATCAATAAATAGCTCTTCCTGTAATGATTGTATGCAGTCAAGATAATGATAATTATTTTTATTGTCTTTTCTTACACTGTAAGGGTCAATTCTGGTGACCATCTCCAGCAAAATAATAAAAAAACTACTTAAAAATTTTTGTAAAATAAAATCAGTAAAATATAATGTAAATACATGTACATGTATTTGAGTCATATAATACATTTACATAATAAATAAAGATTAATCATTGCTTGTAAATTATATGTTATGACCAGAAGTGCTTGTAAAAATAATGAGAATTAGAGTTTCCCAACTCTTACATGTAAACTGTACATTATGTACTCTTGACATTATGCATGCAGTACATTTACAGGAACTTCTGGTCATATTGTAGTGAACTGGCCTTCACTCATGCTCATTCCAGTTATTTCTATATCATTGCTGTATTTACTGCATGCATGGGTGGAGGCATTTCACAAAGTTTTTTAAACATCAGTAACTGTCAATGGTCAAAAGCTATAGGCATAAACTACAGTACTGCTCAGTTATACCTTCATGTTTACCTGGATTGTGTATAAGTACTAT